CCTAGGGGGAAAGTTCCAGAGTCTTCATGTGAACCCAGTGGGGTGCCCAGACCAGGCACACTGCCTTCTCTGTCCCTTGCGTTCCTGGTGGATCACGGGCAGTCAGAATCCTGGAAGGTTTGGGCTGGCCAGGCTCTCGGGGGTGGAGGCCGAACAGGCTCTGGGGCCCGCCAGGGAGCTGGCCTGTGCTGAGGTTGTCCGTGCCCCTCTGCAGAGTCGCTGGACACCCATCAAGCCCCAGCCCAGGCCCTGAACGAGACCCAGTGGGCCCTGGAGCGCCTGAGGCTGCAGCTGAGCCCGCCGGGGGCCCTGCAGGGGAAACTGAGGCTGTTGCAGCAGGAGTCCGAGCAGCAGGAGCTGCAGATCCAGAGCTTCGAGAACGACCTTGCTGAGATCCGTGCTGACAAGCAGAACCTGGAGGCCATTCTGCATAGCCTGCCCCAGAGCTGTGCCAACTGGCAGTGAAGGCCACCCAGACCCCACCCCCCCCGCCCCGCTGCTGTGGCCCTAGCCCGGGTTAGAAACACACACCGCACAGGTGCACCCCTGCAGGCACACCCCCTGGAGCCTGCTGCCGTGTACCCACCCCAAGTGACTACTCACGTAGCCTTCCGAATCCATGGCCATGTCCCCTCCATGCCCGCCAGAGTTAATGTACGTACACAGTTCACCCGGGCAGGCACTCCCATGCCGTGATGCATAAACACGTGCACCCCAGTGTCAATAACACCTACGTGCACACATTGTGCGGACACGCCTGTGTTCATAATGCACACACGTCTGCCAGTTCCCCTGTGCATGCACACATTACACTCAGTCCACAGCCGGTTACTGCGCGTCGGCTGTGCTGCACCCCCTCTGGGTGCTGGGGGGGAGGGTATGTTAAATGCCCTCTGGCACCCCCACACTCACCGTTGCTCCGGAAGGCAAGGACCCAGGCAGAGCTGGGGCCTGAGAGGCTGAGGGGGGGCTATCCGCAGAGATCCAGGATGGGTTTGGCAAGAGCCAGAGCCCCCAGCCCTGGAACTGCCCCCTGTCCTGCTGCGGGACATCCCAGGACACCCGCCCGTCACCTGCTCTGCGCAGCTGAGGGACCAGGCAGGCCAAGCGATGCCAGATCCTCAGCAGCAGTCTGGGGGGGGTCTCAGCAGTGGAACCTGAGGCCCGGGGACCTCTAGGGCTGTGGTGCAGCCTACTCAGCCCACCAGAAAGATGGCCCACCCCTGCACGGTTATCACTGGCTTCGTGGAATGCTTGGTCTCGGGACCCTAGGAATCGCTTGCCCTGGGCCCGATGCTTCTTTCAGCCTGTGGCCTAGCCAGAGAGCTGGGCCTCAAGGGCCTGGGTCAGGGGGACTCGGGTGCTGGGGGAGCTCCTCTTTGGGACCCCAAGACCCCAGCCGGCCTTTGACTGATTGACACTGGCCCTGAGGCCCTGTGGCCCCACCTGCCCCCCGGGGAGGCCCCTGCTGGGTGTGGAGGCCTGGCTGCCACTCCAGCCTGTCCTGCTGGGGAGTTCCCCCTGTGGGCAGGCCCTCCACCAGCCTCTGCCCAGGATTCCTGGCATTTCTTCCTGGAGCTCCTCCCCATTCCCGGGGCCCTCCTCCCGCTGACAGCAGGCCCTCGGCACCGGGACCCGTGCCTCAGGAGCCCACCACACCTCCCATGGCTCTTCTTGCCACAGGCAGGGGGAACAGGCTGCAACATGGACTGGTTCTGTTAAATGTGAAAATAAAGGACCCCTTTACTAGCTGGGTGGAATGCCTTTGGTCCTTTCCTGCTGGTTGGCAGCAGGGGCCCTGGCTGTGGGTGCAGACTCACTACCCTGGCCTGTGGGTGTGCACACCCAGCGCCCAGGGAGTGGGTGGAGGAATGTTCAGTGATCCACCTTGGCCTACCTGCAGTAGTAGGAAGGTGGCAAAAGCAGAGCTCATTGGGCTGGCTGGAGGGCTCGGCTAGGGTCCCATGACCACAGGCACCTAGTCTCTCCCCTCTGCTCCAGGGGATTTGTCAGACAAAGCCTAGAAGAGTGTGAGGAGCCCTCAGCTGACATCTGGTTCAGGCTGGAGACACTGAGACAGCACACGGTGAACTCAAAATCAGGTGTCCCCCCCTCAGCACAGAACGGCTCAGGGAGGAATGCCAATGAGGAGGAGGAGGAGAAGGAGGGCTTTGGGCCAGGCCTTAAAGGGTGGGGAGACGGAACATTCGAGGCAGGAGGGTGGGCAATCGTTCAGGGTTCGTAGAGTTGGGGGGGGGCCTGGCCAGCACTGATCACTCCAGAAACCCAGGCCGTGTGGGTAGGATGGATTGTGGAGCGTGTGCAGTCTAAGCTCTTGGCCACATAGTCTGAACCCCTTTCAAGTTGGTTTAAATTAAAAAGGGGAGTTCATCGGGAGGACATGGGAGGGTCTTCTAGAATCCTGGGGTGGGAAAGACTGCCAAGCCTCCGGACAGCCTGGGGTGGGACTCTCCTGCCCCTTCCCTCTGCCTCTGCCTCTGCTTCTCCCTCCGTGTTTGCTCGTCTTGTTTTTCCCTGCAGAGCAGCTTTCTTTGCTCTTCCTGAGCTTGATGGAAGAGAATGCCCACGCCCCCCCGACCCAGTCCCATGTCATCAGACAAACACAGAGACAAGCTTGAAATTGCCCTGATTCCACTTTCTCTCAAGAGAGACAGACCCAACTTAGGCCACCCCCCCCCAAATCAGAATAGCAGGAGTCTCTGGGTACAAGGCCATATACTGAAAGCTTATCTGGATCCTCTCCAGATCTATTGGGGGAGAGCATTCAGAGAAGAGGCATGCTCCTCCACAGACAACCTGAAAGCCAAGGCCATGAGGGGTGAGGGCGTGTGTGTGTGTGTGTGTGTGTGTGACATGGTGGACACCAATTAGCCAGGGAGTGACTTGGTAGGTAGGAGAGGAAGGACAGGGGCAGGAGGCTGGTGCTCTATAGGGAGTTCGATGACTAGTGTCTGGTATAGGTGGTGCCAAGGAGACCGAGGTTCTTTGAAGACCCCTGGGATAGATAGGGTCTGAGCCCCTCAGGCCCCTCTTCCCCAACACCCAGTTTCTGTGCTGATAGGGGCACACGGCCATTCTGATGTCTGCTCTTGGCATTAAGCCCCTATCCACTCAAGCTGTGGGGGTCAGCAAAGTGCAGTCTCAGCATCCCAACGGGGGGTGGGGGGAGGCAGAATAGGCCTCCTCTCCATTCCATGGTGACATACCTCAGGCTTGACATCTCGTGACTCATGCAGTCCCGGTCATGCCTGGTGTGGGCAGAGCCACTCTCTGGCCCCAGAGGTGGGGCTGTACTGGGTGGAATGTGGCAGCTGTCGAGCATCTGGCTAGCAATGCAGCCCAGCAGCTGAGCGCTGGAAGGTGGGGTGGCCAACCACCGCAACCGACCAGGGCAACAGGCCATCTGAGCCTGGACTGGGAAATGTGTCATGAGGGCCCCATTCTAGGTCAGGTCCCTAATCTGGCCTCCAGATGGAACATCTCCCATCAACCAAGGGTTGTAATTCCTAAGAATTCCTAATTCTCCCCTGCAAGCTTTTACTCTCTGCTCAAACCACCCTGAAAGTCATAAAAGTTATAACAGCCCCTGCTTGGTGAGAGACGCTGCTTCCTCCATTCTGCAGCTCAGGACACTGAGCCTCAAACAAGTCGGGTGCCTTGCCCAAGGTCACACAGCTTGGCCAGACCCAAGCCCTAGGGGTGGATGGGCATCGAGGAATAACCTAGGGGAAGCAGGTGCTCACTGTGCTGGGGACGTGGGGCCATGAACTGCTGCAGCCCTGGCATTGGCCCACCTTGGGACATTCCATTCTGTCCAGCCCCCTTCCTTGGGACAGCCTGGCCACTTCATCTCCCAGGGACAACCACAGAAAAGACGACCAGCTGGCCCCAGGATCCCGATCCTGGGGGCAAGATGAAGGCAAGTCTGTGGGGAAGGAGACTTCCCAGATCCAATCCCCAGGGACACAGTGTCTGTGTGTGTGTGTGTGTGGGGGGGGGGGTGCATTACTGGTGACCAGGTGTGCTGTTTGCTCAGGACAGTTCCCACTTGTACCTGTGGCTGCCAGCATAATTATGAGGACTGCCACCCTTCACTCTCAGAAATGTCCTGATTTGGACGTGAGACTTCATCACCGTCCTGTCACTAGTCCCTGGTTCCTACACCCTGAGCCCCACTCCCCCCAGGAGTTGGAGGCTTGGCTTATTATCATCTCAGTGGACTTGTCCCCCAAGCTTCAGCTTCCTGACTTTTCTTTTCTGTAAAATGGGAACACCAAGTCCTATTTCACGGAGTTTTGAGAATTAAACGACATAAATCTCTCCTGTACTGATCTAGCAAAGTGCCTGATGCATAGTGAGTGCTCAAGAAATAAATTTTATTGGGCACCTGGGTGGCTCAGTCGGTTAA